GGCACAGATTGACAAGGTGGATAAAGAACCAAGACTCAATGGTATGCCAACAGACTCATCTCACATGCAATTACATCCATAGGCTCAAAATAAAGGGACAGAGAAAAACCTACCAAGCAAATGAAAAATAGAAAAAAAGAGGGGTTGCAATCCTAAATCAGACAAAACAGACTTTAAGCCAATAAAGATTTAAAAAAAAAAAAAAAAAAAAAAAAAAAAGACAAGGGCATTATATAATGGTAAAGGGTTTAATTCAATAAGAAGACCTAACTCTCCTAAATATATATGCACCCAACACAGGAGCACCCAGATTCACCAAGCAAGAGCTCAGACACCTTCAAAGAGACTTAGACTCCCACACAATAACAGTGGGAGAATGCATCACCCCATGACAGTATTAGATCATTGAGGCAGAAAATTAACAAACATACTCAGGACCTAATCTCAGCACTGAACCAAATGGACCTGAGAGACATCTACAGAACTCTCCACCTAAAAACAACAGAATATACATTCTTCTCATCACCTCATGGCATATACTCTAAAGTCAACCACACAATTGGATACAAAACAATCTTCAGCAAATGCAAAAGAACTAAAATAATAACTACTTTCTTGGACCACAGTGCAATAAAATTAGAAATCAAGACCAAGAAAATAGCTCAAAACCATACGATTATATGGAAATTAAATAACCTATTCCTGAATGACTTTTCAGCAAATAATGAAATTAAGGCAAAAATCAGGAAGTTCTTTGAAACTAATGAGAATAAAGAGACAACATACCAGACTCTGGGATATAGCTAGTGTTAAGAGGGAAATTTACAGCACTAAACATCTAAATCAAAAAGAAAGACCTCAATTTACAAAGTACATCACAACTAAAAGAACTAGAGAATGAAGAGCAAATCAACTCTAAAGCTAGCAGAAGACAAGAAATAACCAAAATCAGACCTGAACTGGAGATTGAGACACAAAAAAAACCATTCAAAAGATCAATAAATCCAGGAGTTGGTGTTTTGAAAAAAAAAAAATTAGTATCTATTTAATAGACAGCTAGCTAGACTAATAAAGAAGAGAGAAGATCCAAGTAAACACAATTAGAAACAACAAAGAAGATATTATCACTGACACCACAGAAATATGAATACCTCTATGGACACAAACTAGAACATCTAGCTGGAATGGATAAATTCCTGGACATATACACTCTCCCAAGACTGAACCAGGAAGAAACTGAATCCCTGACCAGACCAATAATGAGTTCTGAAATGGAATCAGTAATAGCCTACTAACCAAAAAAAAAAAAAAAAAAAAAAAAAAAAAGCCAAGATCTGATGGATTCATAGCCAAACTCTACCAGGTATACACAGAAGAGCTGGCTCCATTCCTACTGAAGCTATTCCAAAAAACTGAAGAAGAGGGACTCCTTCCTAACTCATTCTGAGGCCAGCATCATCCTGATACCAATCCTGATGGAGACACAACAACAATAACAAAAACCTCAGACCAATATTGTTGATGAACATTGATGCAAAAATCCTCAAAAAATACTGGCAAACTGAATCCAGCAGGAAATCAGAAACTTATCCACCATGATCAAGTAGGCTTTATCCCTGGGTTGCAAGGTTGCTTCAACACATGCAAATCAATAAATGTGATTCATCACATAAATGGTACTAAAGACAAAAACCATATGATCATCTTAATGAAGAAAAGGCCTTTGATAAAATTCCATATCCCATCATATTAAAAGAAAACTTTGACTAAACAAGAAATTGAAAAAATATTTCTCAAAATAGTAAGAGTCACCTAGGACAAACCCACAGCCAATATCATACTGAATGGGCAAAAGCTAGAAGCATGTCACCTGAAAACTTGCATAAGACAAGGATGCCCTCTCTTACCACTCCTATTCAACATGGAACTGGAAGTTGCAATCAAGTCAGAGTGATCAGGCGAGAGAAAGAAATAAAGGGCATCCAAATAAGAAGAGAGGAAGTCCAACTATCCCTGTTTGCAGACAACATAATACAATATCTAGAAAACCCCACAGTCTTGGCCCACAAGCTCCTTAAGCTGATAAACAACTTCAGCAAAGATCCAGGATACAAAATCTACATTAAAAAATCACTAGTATTCCTATACACCAACAACAGCCAAGCTGAAAGCCAAATCAGAAATGCATTCCCATTCACAACTGTCACAAAAAGAATAAAATACCTAGGTATACAGCTAACCAGGGAGGTGAAAGATCTAAGGAAAAACTACCAACTACTACTTAATGAAATCAGAGGTGACACAAACAAATGGAAAAACATTCCATGCTCATGAATAGGAGAAATCAATATTGTTAAAATGGCCATAATGCCCAAAGCAATGTATAGATTCAATGTTATTTCTATCAAACTGCCAATGACATTCTTCATGGAAGCAGAAGAAACTATTTTAAAATTCATACAGAACCGAAAAGAGCCTAGACAACCTCAGCATAAAGAGCAAAGCTGGAGGCATCAGGCTACCAACTTCAAACCATACTACAGGGCTACAGTAACTTTATGGTACTGGTATAGAAACACACACAGACCAATGGAACAGAATAGAGAGCCCAGGAACAAGGACACACACACCTACAACCATCTGATTTTTGACAAAGCTGACAGAAACAAGCAATGGGGAAAGGACTTCCTATTCAATAAATGGTGCTGGGATAACTGGATGTCCATATGCTGGACTCCTTCCTTACACCACAGACAAAAATCAACTAAAGATGGATTAAAGATTTAAATGTAAAACCCAAAATGATAGAACCCTGGAAGACAACCTTGGAAGTATCATTCAGGACATAGGCATGGGCAAAGATTTCATGACAAAGATGACAAAAGCAATTGCAACAAAAGCAAAAATTGACAAATGGGATCTAATAAAACTAAAGAGCTTTCATGTAACAAAAGAAGCTATCCACAGATTAACAAACAACTTATAGAATGGGAGAAAATTTTTGCTAACTATGCATCTGACAAACGTCTAATAGCAAGCATCTATAAGGGGCTTATATTATTTACAAGAAAAAAACAGGCCCATTAAAAAGTGGGCAAAGGACATAAACACTTTTCAAAAGAAGACATACACATGGCCAAAAAGCATATGAAAACAAAGTTCAACACTAATCATTAGAGAAATGCAAATCAAAACCATAATGAGACATCATCTCACACCAGTCAGAATGGCTATTACTAAATCATCAAAATTTAACAGCATCTGTGCTGGTGAGGGTGCAGAGAAAAAGGAACCCTTATACACTGTTGGTGGGAGTGTAAATTAGTTCAACCACTGTGGAAAGCACTGTGTTGATTCCTCAAAAAGCTAAAAACAGAACTACCATTCAACTCAGCAATCCTATAACTGTGTATATACCAAAAGGAATAGAAATCATTCTATCATAAAGACACATGCACACATATGTTCACTGCAGCACTATTCACAATAGCACAGACCTGAAATTAACCTAAATGTCCATCAATGGCAGACCAGATAATGAAAATGTGGTACATATGCACCATGAAATACTATCCAGCCATAAAAAAGAACAAGATCATGTCCTTGACAGGAAGATGAATGGAGCTGGAGGCCATTATCCACAGCAAACTAACGCAGGAACAGAAAACCAAATACCACATGTTTCTCCCTTAGCAGTGGGAGATAAATGATGAGAACATACGGAAACATAGAGGGAACACCACACAGTGGGGCATACCTGAGGGTGGAAGGTGGAAGGAAAAAGAGGACAAGGAAAATTAACTATTGGGTACTAGGCTTAAAATCTGGGCAATGAAATCATTTGTACAACAAACCCCAGTGACAAGAGTTTACCTATATAACAAACCTGCACAAGTAACTCTGAACTTAAAAGTTAAAAAAGAAAGAAAATAAATATTCTAAAATAGAATACTGTGATAGGAAGAACAAGAACTCATTCTTTAATGAAAATAATCAGCCGGGTACGGTGGCTCACATCTGCAATCACAGCACTTTGGGAGGCCGAGGCGGGCAGATCATGAGGTCGAGAGATCGAGACCATCCTGGCCAACATGGTGAAATCCCGTCTCTACTAAAAATACAAAAATTAGCTGGGGGTGGTGGCGCACGCCTGTAGTCCCAGCTACTCAGGAGGCTGAGGCAGGAGAATTGCTTGAACCCAGGAGGCGGAGGTTGCAGTGAGCCGAGATTGTGCCACTGCACTCCAGCCTGGTGCCTGGCGACAGAGCAAGACTCTGCCTCAAAAAAAAAAAAAAAAAAAAATTTATTTTGAATAAATTAATTGGTTATTAGAGGAGAGGAGAAAAAATTTAAAAGAGCAAAACCAGGGATATTTTGGTTTAGGAAATAAACCAAAGGAAAAAAATCTCAAGTTCAAGTTTAATTGTATCACCAACTCAATTTTTAATAAACAGTTTAATTATAATATGCAAGAAGAAATTGTTCATATTTAAAGAATTTCTCACTTTGAGAGGCCAAGGCAGGTGGATCACCTGAGGTCGGAGTTCGAGACCAGCCTGGCCAACATGGTGAAATCCCATCTCTACTAAAATAAAAAATTAGCCAGGTGTGGTAGCACATGCCTTAGTGCCAGCTACTCAGGAAGCTGAGGCAGGAGAATCACTTGAACCAGGGAGGCGGAGACTGTAGTGAGCTGAGATCAAGCCACTGCACTCTAGCCAGGGTGACAGAGTGAGACTCCGTCTCAAAGAAAAAAAAAAAAAAAGAATTTCTTCCCAGTTACCTTTCCACATTAATTTTTATGAAAACAGGCAGGAGGTAAGTAGAGTCAGAAGATCTGTTTTGTCACGAGTTATATGACCCAGAGAAAATGCTGGAAGAATTCTTCCTCTTTGTTTTTACTACCATAATTCTTGTCCCAAAATACTCTTCTGATGATTATGTAAGAGAATGTACAGAAAGTGTTCTGTAACATCAACTATTATTAATATTAGAATTACCTTGCTGATTCTGGATCCAAAATCAGGGCTTCTATCGCATGAGATATCAGTAAACAGCTCTGCTGCTGTCTGGATTGATGTTAAGGTTATACACAAAAACAGAGAAGAAACCCCCTATAGGTTCTATTATCTGAATATTAAATGGGTTAAGATTTAATGATTGCCTAGTGAAGGTAATCATGTTAGCAACTCAAATGGTCTGGGGCTGTAACTTTTATATCAATGTGTAAGGGATATACATTGTCTCTAACAGTGATTCTCAAACTCTGTTCCAAGAAGGGTACTTCAGAGGCTACTACTGTGGGAAGGAGAAACTAAGTGACAGGCCATGTGATTCAATCACAGCAACTCTGATTTTAGATATAGGGGTTTTTCATAAGAGTTTGAGACAAAGAAGCAAATAAAGGCTTCACCAATAAAAGTTTAAAAAAACAAAAACAGAGTGGTCTAAAGAGTCTTTATCCCAGAAGTTCCTAATCTAGAGCTCAGGGGTCTGGCAACCCCATTGAACTTATATGCACATTTTGGTTGTGTGTGCACATATACATTTTGTAGGGCAGAGGGCCCATAGCATTCACTGGGTTTCAATCAGTAAACTAAATGCCAAGAACTACTGACTGGTTAAGTCCTACAACTTAAAAAAAGAATTTCGATTCCTTCCTTTCAAAACTAATTTGAAGTTACTAATAAGAAAATACAGAGAACTTAGGAAGGATTTAAAAGTGACAAATAGGCTGGGTGCAGTGGCTCACTCCTATAATCCCAGCACTTTGTAGGCTGAGGCAGGCTGATCACTTGAGGCCAGGAGTTTGAGACCAGCCCAGCCAACATGGTGAAACCCTGTCTCTACTAAAAATACAAAAAGCCAGGTTATGGTGGCATGCGCCTGTAATCCAGCTACTAGGGAGGCTGAGGCAGGAGAATCAGTTGAACCCAGGAGGCTGAGGTTGCAGTGAGCCAAGATCATGCTACTGCACTCCAGCTTAGGCAACAGGGTGAGACTGCATCTCAAAAAAAAAAAAAAAAAAAAAAAAAAAAAGTGACAACTAATGCTACTGAAGAGATCATTAATAAAGGAGATGAAACACATGTTTTTTGGTAGGAAAATGTGTTTAGTTGTCTGTCGTAGTTCAAGTGAGCACAGGTAAGCAACAGTGGCTTTGCATGTTGCTTTGGATGCACTTCCTGAATATAAAAAAAGACACCTTTGAGTTACCATTTTTTGTTAAAATCCTGGGTAAAGTTAAAAAGTAAGATAATTCTGCTCATAGTAGATTTCAAAGGGGAAACTATATAATAAATTTGTAGGCTTATCTAATATGTATTTTGTAGGTAAGCACAGCTGACGTAGTTAGTCTCAAGAAAACTTCAAAAAAAAAAAAAAAACAATACTGGGTCAAGCTTGGGATATAGTTCGACGTTCCTCAAAGTTGCTGAGTCAGCATCAAAAGAAGCCTGGTAAAGATCCCCATATCGAGAAGCAAGGCTCCGAAATTCTTCCATGGACTGTTTCATCTATTAAAAAATGTATCAATTATGACAAACAAACATGCTATCATTAATATATAAACAACACAAAAATCAAAACATAAAAAAGCACCTTCAAACAATAATTCAAAAAAATACTGCAATATTTTCATTGTCATTCCATTCATTTTCATAAACTTCGTTAAATAAAAACAAAAATGGCAAATGAAACTATACGTGTTCACAATATTATTACATATGACATATAGAAACAAAAACATTTATATTTTAGATTCTTCAAGTTCCACTAAAATAATTTAGTTATAAACATTCTGAAGTCTTTAAAAAAAATTCTATGTCCTTTCTCTTTATATAAATATCTAGCACTCATAGATACCATTAATCACTTTATTATTCTAATAACACGTCAGTCTATTTTTGGCCAGACAGCTGAGTTAATAAACATTTATGATAGTGTCTGAGTCAAACCACTGATTTTAAATTTCACAACTTTTTATCTTATAACTAACTTCAAAAACCTCTAAAGTGTAAATTAAAAAGTGCACTGAAAGTTAAGACCTGCCTGATTGGAGATTCGACCACACCTCTGAAGGTCATTTCCTAGGGTCATGGCAATTGTTGTGGCAATTGCAGGTGGGGGGCTTGTCTTTAGGCTATTACAAGTACAGATAAGTTGAGAGAAGGCTTGTAGAAGGTCAATCCTGAGTTTTACAAATTCACATTGAAAGCTTAAAGGATTCAGTGGTGTGCTAGCTGCCTGAAAAAAAAGAAAGAAGAGATATTTAAGATAAAGTAAACATAGCAGTGAGATGGGGCAGTACCAAGTATTTATAAGTTTGTGGTCGAGTACAGTAGTTCTCTAACAACACTGATGGATAAAGACCTAAATGATAAAAAGAATAATGTAATATTAGAATGAAAAACATTGTTATTAAACACCAGGTCTGAAAAACTGCATGTACTATCACTATTCATAGGTTCCTTACTTCCAACATTCACAATATGTGGGTTGTCAAGAACATCATCAAGAAGATAATCACATAAAGAATGCTTCAAGGACACTACCATCCCCCCAAAAACCCTGAGAGTATACAGAACAGTCAGAGTTGTGGGAAGTTTCCAGTAACTCTCAGGATCATGCTGCCTTCCCCTAGAGACTACACTCAATCATTTCCTGTTTTTCTTAATCCTAAAAACACAGTGTTTGGCATATAGCAAGTGCTTATGATATGTGGAATAAAATAACTCCACTTCAAAAGGAGAGTATCAGAGGCCTAATGACCTACCCAAAGTCATACCCTGTTAATGGCAGAACCACAACTAAGACAAGGTCTCCTCTCTGTCAATCAAGTGCTTTCTTCCTGTGTCAGAGTTCAATCCTTAATTATTGTCAAGCCTTGTTAAATACACATACCACACAAATCATTAACTCAGCATTAAAATTCAACAGAATTTTTCATAAAATTAATTCCATTTGCCTCATTGTGTTATCATTTATGGTACTCAATAATTAACAATTTTCTGCTCTACATAAACTAGAAAATCAAATGATTCTATTGATCTGAACCAGTAATTGTAACTTTTACTTTTCTGAGGCATTTATTAGCCTAATATAGGAAACAACAATCTCTTCCCAGAATAATCAAGAGGAAAGAATCAAAGTAGTTAGTGCTACTCTTTAAGATGGAAAGGAGCCTGTATTACTGTTTTAAACAACCATCAATCAATCCTAGTAAAAAAAAAGAAATATATATATATATATAATGCTTCAAAATGTATGTGCCTCACAGTAGTCTGAATATTCTCTTTAGTGACACCTGCTTGTTCTGATTCGAAACATTTCAAGATAGCTCACCATTAAAAATATTTCAGGTACTAAAAGTTTTATGGTCCCATCTCAATATATACAATTTTTAAAGTAATGTGACAATTATTTTAAAAATGTTTAATGTTGATTATATAACCTCTTTACTTTTAAGGGGAAAAAGCCCTTGCATTAATATAAAAACTGCTTATTTTAAGGAACGGGTTCTTACTTAGGAATATAACTAATTTCAAGGAAACATAAGGATTTGCCTTCTTTGCAACTCTTTTGTTTTCTTGGCTGAGAAAACAGAAATTGTAGCTAGCAAATGTTTAATGTGGAGTAGGAGGATATCACAGAGAGGTACAAGTGGGACACTAGAATCTCTGATCATTTCTCTTTATCTGTAAAGCAAGAAACTCTAGTTACTTAGTCTGTAGCTGCCAGGTATGAGATGAGGTCAGGGGTTTATGTTTGATGGTTGTACTGATGCAGGCTGGAATCTTACAAAAAAGAGTCTGTACAGGGAGGATCCTATCTCCACACCACTTACCCCTTCTACATGGATTCAGCAATCCTCTTCACATGTGGTGCCCAGTTCTTTATAACAAGAAAATGATAAACTTTTATCAATCTAAGAATGTTAAAAAGGGGGAAAGGTTAAGGTTTTATTTCCATGACCTATTTCTTATGTTGCTATTGCCAAATATACATCAGCAGGTTTCTCAAGTTAGCTAAAATAGGACAATCGAAAAAGAGAAGGGAGAGAATTCTCACACAAGTCATCATCACCAAAGGTGAATTAAGAGGACTTACTGTTAAGGAAGCAATTCCTTTGTGATAGAATTTTAAAGACTCAGCAATGCAAGAAAGTGCTGAACTATAGTTTTCCTCTTGCAACCCAGTGAGACACTGCTCTGCATGTGAGAACTCCTTCAGACTATTTAGCCAGAAGTAGAAGTGTTCTGAGGCAACCTGAGTCAGCAAACTCTGATAAAGCTCTTTGGCCATATCATGATTACCCTAAAAACAAAAAACATAAAGAAAAAAAACAGGAGCACATGGTGAGGTTCTTATATTTGAAAGAGTTGAGGCAGCAGCTAAAAGAGAAACCCAAACCTTGCATAAGTCTGAACAATCATTTCTCATATTATATAATTCTCTGAGACTCTGTCTAAATATTTCTTCAGAGAAAATATGCTGAGTTGTTTTTATGTAATATAATGCTTGAAATTCTTTACTAAAGCAGTTCCAAAGAGAAAATGAATGGAATTAACTATAAACTAAGTCTAGAACTTTAGCCCAAAATACAGAAAGTATAAACGTTATTCTGGATGAACTATTTAGTGGGTGAGAGAAACCCCAGGGGAGAAGGCATAGTTGTTGGGAAAAATGTGAAAAACAGTTAATGCCTGGGGCCAGGGATGCTCAATGTCCTGCAATGCTTGAGACAGATCAGTATAATGAAGAACTGTCCTGCCAAGAGTGTGTGCTCCTCCTTCATTTGAGAAGCAATGCAAAATTAAGAACATGCACTTCAATCACCTAGAGTAATGCTTTCTCAAACTTTGGTCTCTGGACTTATCCTAAAAGGATTTTTTTTTCTTTCTTTTTTTTTTTTTGTATTTTAGTAGAGACAGAGTTTTGCTATGTCAGCCACGCTGGTCTCAAACTACTGGCCTCAAGAGATTTTCCCGCCTTGGCCTCCCAAAGTGCTGGGATTACAGGTGTGAGCCACCCCACCGCTGGCTAGGATTTCTGTACTAAACCAAGGTTTCTATTTCCTTTCAAACAAAATTAATAAAACTTGTTAGACTTTCCATATGGCTGAGAAGAGTACAGCATACTAAAGCTCTCCCATTTCTACTTAAGAATGACAAGGTTGGGGAGAGGAACAAAGATGTGGTAAACTGAGAAAGACAGAAACAGCGGGTGGTAGGTGGCCTTGGTTAGGACAACACAGAGCAAAATCAAAGTGGCACTAACAACCTACAGCCAGAAAGGGCCCAGATTTTAACTTCCTCATTACTAATAACAACAATATATATACCATTCATTTATGATAAAAGTTAAAAGTCAGGCCCTTTCCTTCCTCATCTTCAGAACCCATGACTAAAAGGTACTTCCATCTTTATTTTTAGTTTGACTAGATTAATAATCATATAATTGAAGGTACATGACCTGACATTTCCACCAACCCAATTCACTCAGAAAGGTAACACATACCATTCTGGAAGCCTGTCTGGCAATACGGTATACAGTCCATCCATTGGAGACACTTTCAAGCTGCTGCTTAATCACTGCCTTCACTTCCACAGATAATGCCTTCTGACTTGCTACAAAAATCACAGTAGCCAAACTCACCTAACATCGGGCAAGAAGAAAACCAAGAAAATCATTTAATTTTATCCAGTGTCATACATAACCTACCCCAAAGGGAGGAAAACTAATTACAGCCCACTGCAAAAGAGCAAAATTTGTTTTCCATTGATATTTAATTTTTTATTTTGAAGTCATTATGTAATTTATTCTGTTCACTCAGAGCACTCTTTATAACAGCAAATAACTAGAAGCAATGTCCATAATGGGATACATACATTAAATAACTTATAATCCACAATAAGATACATAAGTAAAATGGATAAACTAGAGATACACTTACCAATATAGATGACAAACAAAATAGGCAAGAATATGCAAAATGCAAAAGATTACAAGTAGTATAATAATGTTTATATACAATTTAAAATATGCAAAATAATACTGCATATTATTTAGGGATATACACTTTGGTAATAAAAGAATAACAGCCATGAGAACGAGAAATACCAAATTCAGGATAGTGGTTACCTCTGACAGAAGGGAGGAGATGCTATCAGCAAGGTACACCAGGGGCTTCAACTAAACAGGTAATATCTTTTTCTTAAGCTAGATAATGAATGCAAGAGTTTTCATTGTATTATTCCCTAGATTTTTAATCTTAAAGCAGTACTCACAAAAAGGATACAAAGGCCATTAGTTCAAAATACAACTTCAGTAAAAAATAAACTTAGCTAACTGCCTGTTAATATTTCAAAGCCGATTCATATAAAGATCCATACATATTTTAATAAGTGAATGATGTCATCCTCTTGACCACAGCTACCTGGTCATCAAGGTAACCTTTTCTGGCAGCAAATGATAAGATGGGGTCAATCTTTTATACAATTCCCTCTGGAGGATTAAAACAGGCTTAAATAAGTCATTTCATTATGTTTTTTTCCCACATTCTAAATTCAGATGAACGGAATGGCGACCTTACAACTTTCATTTCATTTACAACTATTTAGCATGTACCCTACTCTCAGTCCTGCAGAACTTTTCAATTAAACATTTTACAACTTCCATAGTTTCTGTTTCTTTCTAAGCATCTACCTTTTCTAATTCCAAGGGTCTACAGAAGCCTAAACAGGATCCTAAATAGCTAAAGAGGTCCTGGAATGAAAAACGTAAATTTGGGCTAATCAGGCCCTTTCCTTCTTATTATCATTAGATTTTTTTTTTTTTTGAGACGGAGTTTCGCTCTTGTTACCTAGGCTGGAGTGCAATGGCGCGATCTCAGCTCACTGCAACCTCCGCCTCCTGGGTTCAGGCAATTCTCCTGCCTCAGCCTTCTGAGTAGCTGGGATTACAGGCATGCGCCACCATGCCCGGCTAATTTTTTGTATTTTTAGTAGAGACGGGGTTTCACCATGTTGACCAGGATGGTCTCAATCTCCGGACCTCATGATCCACCCGCCTCGGCCTCCCAAAGTGCTGGGATTACAGGTGTGAGCCATCGCGCCGGGCCATCATTAGATTTTTAACTTCTATTTTCTGAAGTATAAAACAGGGTTTACATCATTATTTGCTTTGTATAAGAAAGAAAAAAGTTTCACTTTCATTTGTCCTTTGTAATAAAATAAAAACATGAGATTGAAGGCTTTGGCTACACTAAGCTGATTTGACAAGGCTTAGGAAGAAAGCAGTTTTAGAGGCGAACAAAAATGGCTTTCTAAATCAAGTGAAAAAAGTGAAAAGCTCATAGAGCCAATTCTATTTTGACATCAACACATTCTTTAGTCTTAGATAATGAATTTAACCTATTGTTTGTTTTGTTTTTTTAAGTAAAGCCAAACAGTAATGTTGACTTAGAAGTAATTCCCACTAGACCAGAGCCTCGTCATTCAAAGGAGATTCAAAATGGGGCTTTTTACCAGAAGTTCTTGTTGCTTGTCTGTGGCTGATCGTCCAATCACCTTGTATAGCTCCATGAGGTCACCAAGCATCCCATCACCCAGCACCGGCAGCTGCATGGCAATGGCTGCCAGACAATGGCACATCAAAATCCGGTCAGCATCCTGAGCACTGTGCAACTGAGTTAACAAGGTCTCAACCACTGACTGACTAAGATGGGGCCTGCCCTTGGCCAACTTCACCATACAGTTTAGAGCAATCTGCATGCCAAAAAGAAAATGAACTAGTTACAGTTGGAAAATATAAATGAAGCTTTGAAGAGAAGGGCTTTGTACAGGTTACTGGGGAAAATCAAGGGCGAGGTTTCTCGTAGGTGTACGCTTTTCTTCGTAAGATACACGAAGTACTGAATCCCACATTAGGGTTTGTGAAGGGCAAAAGGAAAAGCATAGTTAATAGAAGTAAGAAACTGTTAGATAAACATTGGTGCATGTAAGAGCATTAGCTTGTCATAGGTATGGTTTCAAGGAAGTCATGGCTCATTTTAGAATGTTAAGGAAAGTAGTGATGTGGTCATAGTGATAAACAATAAAGAGTAATATCATTAAGTGAAAGTTAATAAGAAGTGGAGAAGGGGGCCAGACATGGTGGCTCACTCCTGTAATTCCACCACTTTGGGAGGCCGAGGCGGGTAGATCATGAGGTCAAGAGATTGAGACCATCCTGGCCAACATGGTGAAACCTCATCTCCTCTAAAAAAAATACAAAAACTAGCCAGACGTGATGGCGCATGCCTGTAGTCCCAGCTACTCAGGAGGCTGAGGCAGGGGAATCGTTTGAACCCCGGAGGCGGAGGTTGCAGTGAGCCAAGATTGTACCACTGCACTCCAGTCAGTCTGGTGATAGAGCAAGACAGTCTCAAAAAAAAAAAAAAAAAAAAGAAGTGGAGAAAGGAAGTAGCAAAACATATGTTTGGCAATGCATTCTGAGGGGATCCTCAGAATCCCCTTGGAACCACAATACATTTAAAACTTTATTTTAAGCAAATCATTTTTCAACAATTGTGAGTGTCAGTAAAATGCTAGACTCAGCACAGTGGGACATACGTAGATGACCAAAAAAGATTACTGTATTAGAGGAGCTTCCCATCTAGAATAAGCTCCTGATGTTTGTAAAGGGGCCTATAATATCAAGCAGAACACAATACATTCTCTGACAGTACACCAAAAAAGTACATAAAGGTCAGAGTCAGGAGTGATTAAGCCAAGGATATTAGGGAAGACTTCAAATAAATGTCATGAGTTGAGTCTTGAAAGATGCTATCAAATTAAAGTAATAAGGAAAGACTGTTTGAGCCCAATGACCACTGTTAGAAAAGACTTGCAAGTAAGAATTTACCTGTTGTGGTGGAAAAATGGTGAAAGCCCACTGTGGCTGGGTGAAATAATATGAGATTTGAAAAGTAGTTCAATCATAGAGGATATAAAATAACATACTATTATGGCCTTGATTCTACAGGTAATGAGGCAATAATAGGATTTTAAAGTAACATTTGTTGTAATTATTATTGTTATTTGAATGTCTATTATGCGCCAAACTTTGTTAAAGACATATATACATTTCTTTCAGTCCCTTAATAACCCTATAATGAAATGTGTTCCCCTCTTATACATATCAGAAACTTAAGCTGAGAGAGATGAAGTACGTTGTTCAAAGCCACTTAGCTAATAAGGGGCAAGCTGATCATCAGCCCTTGCTTGGATTTATCAGACTCTAAAGTTTATGTGTGTGCCTAACACCCCACTGATGGCTACATGGCTGCATTGTGAAGGATGGATTGATGGGCCCATCTTTCAAGAAATTGGAATTAGGGAGAGATTTATGATGTGGTAGAGAGAATGGAAAGGTGCTAACAGTGGATATTAGAGACGACAGAAGAATCTGTTAGCTATGTAAAAGTGGGACTATTTCTAACTTTCTGGTTTTTTGGCTGGATATTAGTGATGTCCTTAACAAGGTCTTAGTAAGAGAAAATCTGGTTTTTAGATTTCAGTTGACAAATAAGAGAAAATTAGGAACCTCTTTCCCATTTTAATGTACTTAGAGTCATCCAGGTAATCTTTTTAAAACTGTGAACCCTCAGTAGCTCCAACATGCGCGCGCGCGCACGCACACACACACACACACACACACACACACACGTACATTAATTCATTAGGGTAGGGCCCAGGAATCTATATCTTTATTTTCATTCTGGAAGATGCTGGTATAGTTTAAAAGCCACACTTCAGAAGCAGTTCCTGAAAAGTTATGATAGTACAGTGTTGGTGACATTTGGCCTGTGTTTGCCTCTTTAGCATTCTTCCTTATGATTTCCAGCTTTCTTAAAAATATTTTAATAGTCTTAGATTGAAATGAGTGGGTTGACATGCAGTCCTAATTTGTAATTTTAAACAAATTAATTTCCTTTGTTATTAATCTTTGAACCATCACAAGTTGTATTTCATGTTTCACTCCAAAAAGAGTAGTCTCATTTCACATTTTAAATTTTTTTTTTTTTTTTTTTGAGACAGGGTCTCACTTTGTCACATAGGCTGGAGAACAGTGCTGCAATAATAGCTCACTGTAGCCTCAACGTGTGGGGCTTGGGCGATCCTCTCATCTCAGCCTCATGAATGGCTAGGATTATAGGTGTGTTCCATCATGCCCTGATAAATTTTTTAAAATTTTTCTAGAGATGGGGTTTCACTATGTTTCCCAGGCTGGTCTTGAACTCCTAGGCTCATGCAATCCTTCCACCTTGACCTCCCCAAAATGCTGGAATTACAGGCATGAGACACTGTGCCTGGCCTCATTTCAAATTTTAAAAATCTTACATATTTCTAAGATGATTTCTGTAATTAAGTGAAGGTGAAAATTCTTTAAATTATCCTTTCCTTGGCTTATAAACTAGAGCTTATACCACTGGGAAATTAATGAATACTTAGATTAAATTAATGAACATTTACGAGTTTGAATGCAGTCATTTAATCAGGTTTTTTTGTGGTTTTATCAGTTAGATTTAATCACTTAGATTAAAACTTCTAAGAGTATAGGAGCTCTGTCTGCTTAACTTTGCTTTCTATTGTCTAAGACCATCATATATACCTATTACAACTTAATAAATAGAAGTTTTCACCTTTAAAGTGGCCTGAGCACCTGGACTATCATCTTGACTGCAAAGTACCAGTAGAGATTCCAGGCCAAAGACAGCATCTTGTTCCAGTGCCAAAAGATCTAGAAGAAAAACACTAAGCTTTATGACGGCCAAGTGATGTGTGTATAAACACACACATACATATATACACATACACACATAACCTCAGAAAAAAACATTAAGAAGTTTAAGATACAGGAAATAATTAAATGTATAAAGTTAACCTTCCTTGAAAAAGTACATGTGGCATTACTTCTGGAATATAAAGTCTATCTTCAGACTTTATTTCTACCACTTTATTGAAGATTATAAAAATATACACATTAAATCAAAAGCTAAAGCCACAAAGCTATAAATAAACCAAAACTGAAATAGTGTCACTAGCTTAGCTAAGGAAAATACTAAGAACAGCAAACTATGCAGGATGTGTTAATCTCCCTAATCAGAAATAAATTATACAGGTGCATTTTTACCTAAAATTTAACAGTTTTCAGGTTTTTTTTTTTTTTTTTTGAGACGGAGTTTCGCTCTTGTTACCCAGGCTGGAGTGCAATGGTGCGATCTCGGCTCACCGCAACCTCCGCCTCCTGGGCTCAGGCAATTCTCCTGCCTCAGCCTCCTGAGTAGCTGGGATTACAGCCACGTGCCACCATGCCCAGCTAATTTTTTGTATTTTTAGTAGAGACGGGGTTTCACCATGTTGACCAGGATGGTCTCCATCTCTCGACCTCGTGATCCACCTGCCTCGGCCTCCCAAAGTGCTGGGATTACAGGCTTGAGCCACCGTGCCCGGCCAGTTTTCAGGTTCTAATGAAAGTTGAACCACTTTTAGGAAATAATAAAAACTCTACCTTATTAATGTTTTTAAGTCCGACCATAAAGAATGAAACTCTTAGGTCAGGCGTCCCCAAACTATAGCCCGCGGGCCGCATGCGGCCTCCTGAGGCCATTTATCCGGCCCCCCCGCTGCACTTCAGGAAGGGGCACCTCTTTCATTGGTGGTCAGTGAGAGGAGCACAGTATGTGGCGGCCCTCCAACGGTCTGAGGGACAGTGAACTGGCCCCCTGTGTAAAAAGTTTGGGGACGCCTGTCTTAGATGTCTCATGAAATAGCAGTACTACAACATCTTTTCACTACCATCGGGCTAAAATTTCTCAAAGGTTTTTACAAAGTTCTGAATATATTAGTCGTCTTTAGGTTAATCTATTTCAGTGTTGATAACATACAGCAGTTTTCTGTGTTACATGAGAGAAAATACTCTTTGCTATGCCAAATATAAAACAGGCTTAATTATCCAAATCAGAATCAACATTCAACTTTAAGAAAGGTTTCCTTAGTGTAGGAGCTTGGCAAACAGAGTAAAGGCTAGTGAAGGTCAGGTTGCTAGAAAAAGACAGGTACTAGGAACAAGCAGTGCTAAAGGCCAGTGGGGATAAAGGGAACCACTGAGCTTGTAATCCTTAATAAAGATCAAAATCAGCACTGAAACAGATGGAAGATCTAAAATGCATTTCTTGTTCTTGAACACAAGCATGAAATTTTTCAAGTGCTTAGGTCAAAAGATGTTAGGTAGACAACAGAATATGTGCATTATTTTCCTTGCGTGTCCTCCTTGATTATGCAAGTCAGTTTAATACCATGTATATCTAAATTATGTGAAAATTTAATTCACATTGGTCTGTGAATTCACTTGCCTCTAGGTGTAACTATTTGTTATTTAAGTCCCTTGAGAATCTACGTAAATTTTCTAGGTTTCTGTATAAGCGAACACAATACCTTCTTATACAAAAGGGGTAGAGTCCTAAGCAACCTCTATCCACCAGCACCATATGTGCAAAGGTAAGCAGCGGGAGGAAATGGGCAATCCTCCACAAAACCTTTCACTTCCATTCCCAAGGTCTTCGTCCCTTTATTACTTTTCACAAGAATAGAGTAGTCTTGAGAACATATGCTCTAAGAACACTTTGAAAAAAGTCAATTTGTAGATCAAGGTACACAGGCTAAAAATAGGGGATTAAAAAAAACCAAACAGAATTCTGTCCAAGCTCTAAACCAAAGTTTATATATAATATCAGTCCTAATCAAACTTACCCTTTTCTTGACAAGAAACAGTTATATTAGTTAGGACTCTAACTCCATGAGCTGCAATGCCCCTGTTATTATGGTAACAGCACTCTTGGGCTAGTTTGACTAAATCAGAAGATCTGGGAGAAGAACTCACATTTCCTAAAAAAGAAGAGAAAAGTAGTAGAGACTGTAATTCAAACAGTTCAAAAGGAGTTCAGCTTATATGTTCAATTTTCTTAATTTTTGAGAAAAATCTCTAACAATAAACTTCAATGAAATTTCCTACCACAATCCCACTATGAATATATATCAGCATTTCTCTTCCCCATTAAAGTACTTAAAATAGATATATGCCAACAGTTTTGTAATGACTAAAATCTAAAATCAACATAGAATTTCTTTTTAAAATACTAATAAAAATTGACTAACAGTACAAAAGCCAAAACAACTATCCTAAGAGTTCAAATGAATTCTGATTAAAACAAATAACATTATAGGCCGCTTGTCAGACAAAACCATACCTTTAAAATAGGAGAGAAAAGAGAACAATTTTTAAGTTTGCTTTTTTTTTTCCCCCCCAATCTCAGATTGCTGGCAGCATACATTTATACCTCAAGAGGCTTACATAAGAATTCATGATTTTAGAGTTGGAAAGAATTTTGGTATCATCTGATTTAACACATCCTATTTTTACAGATGAAATCAAAGCCCAAAGCCCAAAAATTTTAAGAATCTTGCCATTAAGGTCATACAACTTATTAGTTGTGTACTAATGCCCCTCTTATTCTACTCTTGCACTTTATACCTTAAGTTCTATGCTAAAGATTGCAGCAATTTTTAAAATTCAAATTTGAAATTCTGGAATGCAAGTTCATGTTATAACTATTTTAATTTATAGTAGAGAAGTTGTAACTGAATAAGCTTAGCTTCAAGAACATAAGATTAGAGCCTGTTCAGCTACTTAAAAGAGTCTCCCATTCCTGTCTTCCTTTCCTCTGCTTACTTTTCCATGATTCCTGTCAACTTAGTCTCTCATACCAAAGTTGACCGTATTTTTTGAGGCTGAAAGGGACACTATTAAGAACTGCAATAGGCATAAACCATAAATATTGAAGGCAGTGTGGGACATATGGTCACTTTATTGGTTTCTGGTTTAATACCAGCTTAAGAGAGAGCCTCAGTGTTTTTTGGTTTTTTATTTGTTTTGTTTTGTTTTATTGAGACAGAGTCTCACTCTTGCTCAGGCTGGAGTGTAGCAGTGTGATCATGGCTTACTACAGATTGCTCACTCTTGCTCAGGCTGGAGTGTAGCAGTGTGATCATGGCTTACTACAGGTTGCAGCTCAGACAGTCTCAAACTCTGAGTCTCCAGCAATCCTCCTACCTTAGCTTCTGAGTAGCTGAGAATACAGGTGCATGCCATCATTCCCAGCTAATTTTTTTGTTTTTTATAGAGACGAGGTTTTGCTTTGTTGCTCAGGCTGGTCTCAAAACTCCTGGCTTCAAAAGATCCTCCCATCTTAGCCTCCCAAAGTGTTGGGATTACAGGTGTGAGCCACCATGCCTGGCCCCTTCAAGTGTTTTTAAGTTAGGCAAAACATTAGAAAGCTGAAACTGTATCTTTATTTTTTCAAACCTGTGGAAATTGTATTTCCTCTATTCTTTTTGTCCATGTGATGTGGACAACGCAGGTCATCTATAAATTTACAAACATGTTTTATAAATGCTTTTTTCTTTGTTTTATTCCTATCAACACTCACCATAGAAAACTCAGGGAAAAATATAAAAAACAGAAAAATCCAAAGAACAACACAAAAATCACACCAAATCTCACAAACCAGCATGACCTTATTGTTAACTTTCTGAAATATTTCTTTTAAATCTTTCTCTCCCTATGTACAATACAATTTAAAAACTCACACACAATCAGGATCTGTAGATACTGCAATATCCTGCTTTTAAAATGTAATTTTTTTTAGCATTTTCCAGGAATAAAATTAATTTAATTTTTAATTATTTAGTAATGATTTTCTAAGATAAACTCACATGGCTCATAAGGTACAACAAAGAGTAGAAAATGTTAAAAATGCTAGTGAGAGAAAAGTTTTCCTCACCCACCCAAGGTTATCAGCTTCCTGTGTATTATTTCAGAGAGTCTACAAATTTACAAGCACATGTGTTCCTTTTTCTTTTTCACATACTATTTTGCACCTTGTTTTATTTCTCTTTAAATATTATATCACGGAGACTGTTCCATGCCATATTTTCTTTTTAGTAAATTAGTAAATTGCATTGATTTTTATTGCAGTGATGTGTCATAATTTCTTTGAGCCCTCTTTGATGGACCTTTCAATGCTATTATATCCTCTAATGATGGATAATATTTTGCTATTATATAAACTGGTACTAAGAATTATCTTGTATATATGCCATTTCTCAATGTGTGACTATATAGATAAGATAAATTCCCAGAAGTGGAATTTTTGCGTTATCTGTAATTTAATGAGTATTTCTAAATCGCCCATGTACAAGTTTAATAATTTATATTAGTAGCAGTAATGATTGCTTACCCACACCCTTGTCAACACAGCATATTTATCAAACTTCTATATCCTTGCCAATCTGATGGATTAAAATGATTTCAGTATTGTTTTAATGTGCATTTTCTTAAATATGTCTGATACTGAACATCTTAGATATTTGAGCCATTTGTTAGTGATGATTTAGACATACTAAATTTAAGTTTGCTTTTTAAACTACTTTTGGCTATACTGAAAAAACCTAATCAACCAAAATAAACTTAAAGATTTACTATTGCTTATGGAAATAATCTAACTTTGGAAAATCCTTGACTTTTATTTTTTATACATATTGTCTATTTAAGCCTTTGCTTAATTCCATATATAAGCCAAAATTAACAAACTTCAACAAAAGGACAAATACCTGGCTTGAAAAGTGTCTGAATATTATAACCCAGCATAATACTAATACATATCTTTGGAATTAAAAAATAAATAAAAAGAAAGTTATCGTCCATGTAGGTCAGTTTGGTACAAAAAAAAAAAAGAATTCTGAGTCAGACCACTGAATTCAGGCGTAGGCTCAGACACTTCACAAGTATGTGAACTTTGGACATACCGTCACACATCTGTGAGCCTCAGTTTCAATACTTACAAACTCCTTTGCATATGCCTCACTTGAAAGGCTACCTGTATGGGAAAGCTCTCATCTATTATAATACATAAGACTTTGCCTACCACGGCTCTTTCAAAGTGCAATGTTGGTCAAGGACGTTAACTGCAAACTAAGAAACAGACTGGCTGATTTGGGCAGAAAAAGAATTGAAAGCACACTAGGTATATGGTAGGTTATTTATAAAGAAGGCTGTGATAATCTCTCACATCCCTTGTGGACATGCTCCTTTACCATGTGATTTTCCAATTCCATGTGACTTGCTTTGGCCAATAAGGCACTGGAAAACATGCTGCAAGCGAAAGGTTGACAAGTGCTTATGTGTTGGTGGCTTACTTTCTTTTGGATCCAGCCAACATCCTGAAAACACGCCCAAGCTAGCCCACCAAGTCACATGGATAAAAACTAAGGTGCCTCAGCAGAAAGCCTTTCAACTTCTAGCATGTGAATGAGGCCATCTTTGACCATCCAGTCCTGGTCAAAGCTTTACATGACTGTAGTCACATGAGTCACCCTAGGGTGAGGCCAACAGAACTGCCCAGCTGAGCACAGGCAAAATTGCTAATTGACAGAATTAGAGCAAACAGAAAGGTCATGGTTTTAAGCCACTTGGTTTGGGGTGATTTTGTTACGTAGCAACAGATAACTGAAAATGTACTTCACAGAATCACTGGAAAGCCTGTAAAATTAATAGGAAAACAACGTCAGAAAAAAAAGAGACCAACCAAAACCACAGCCCAAAAGACCATGCAAGGAATGAGTCCGGTGAGTACATGTCAGCCATTGTTACTGATTATTTGATGTCACAGCTTAACTTCTATCACTGGGTACCAGACATAGCAAACACAGACTGCTAGAATGTATTCTGGAAACGAATGTTGCTCTGTCATTGCTGTATCACCAAATCCCCATATCCCCATTCTCCTATATCTCCACTTCCTTGTTGTTACTGGCTCCAAATTGAGTCCGTGGCATGGACATGATTAGTTGAGTCCAGGCCACATGTGTGCCCACTAGCTGGAAGGGAGGTGTAAAAACAGAGTATCAGGTCTTTTTAGCTTCCTATTAAGACTTAAATGGCAGGGAATTCCCTTCACCTAGAAAGTAAGTTCATATACTATGCAGCCATAAAAGGGACAAACAAATGTACATTACAGTTCTGTAATTCAAATTAACTGACTACAAAAGGAAGCAACAGAAGTTTCACCAAACTTGCATTAAAACAAAACAACCAGCCCAGAAGCAGTGGCTCGTGGCTCATATAATCCCAGCACTCTGGAAGGTCAAGGTAGGTGGATCACTTGAGGCCAGGACTTTGAGACCAGCCTGGGCTACATGGTGAAACCCCATCTCTATGACAAATACAAAAATTAGCCAGGCATGGTGGCAGGCACCTGTAGTCCCAGCTACTCAGGAGGCTGAAGCAGGAAAATTGCTTGAACCCAGGAGGTGGAGATTTCAGTAAGCCAAGATCTCCCTACTGCACTCCAGCCTGGGCGACAGTCAGTCTCTGTTTCAAAACAAAACAACAACAACAAAAAACCCCAAAACGACAAAAAAATTTAGCTTTAAGTCTGTTAGGTGAGCAAGCTCCTTACTGGGCATTAATGAAAGCATTTTAGAGTTAATCGTCTTGAACAGGTAACCAGGAAAGCATTATTGAGCTGCAGTAAGGTTTTATTTTATTGTTTTCCAGAGAAATAATAAGCACCTAAAAGGAAGAATATGACATTTGCTCTTAAAACTCACCACCACTTGACCTTTGAAATGTACTTAAATTCAAAGGGCACTTTGAGCCAGACATACACAAAAGCAAACCAACTATTTTAAGCATCCTCAAAAATATTTTCACCCACATATAATTCAAAAAAAGTACAAACCTAGAAAAATATATTCTTGAGTTAAGATCAAGAATACAAGAGGTTGTTATCATAGGCATTAGTTAAGAAATCATGTTCAAATACATCACTAGCCTGTAATAGAGCAGGGGATTCTGAAACTTTCCCTGATGTTAAAGCTTTACAGAAGAAACAACCTGAAACATAAATATGGATAAACGAATTAGCACATTATTTATATAGTATCTCCTTTCTTTTCCTTACCTGGAACTATACTGAAGTAATGTTTGATGGCGATGGTCCCTGATAGTGTGGAAAGGACAGACAACATCCCTAATTTTAAGCTGTCATAAGGAGTCTGGAGGGCACACTCACAAAGTGCCTGGAATGTAGAAGAGAAATCAATATAGAAGTTAAAACATCAATATACTTCTAAATCATCTACTCCATTTACATTTTCTGGCTTTTAGAACAATCATATATTATGGACTTCTTTTCATGTTAAAAAACTTAAGTTGAGGCCAGGTGTAGTGGCTCATGCCTGTAATCCCAGCAGTTTGGGAGGCTGAGGTGGGAGGATCACTCTAGCTAAGGAGTTTGAGACCAGCCTGGGCTCAAAGTGAGACCTCGTCTCTACAAAAATTCAAAAAATTAGCTGGGTGTGCTGGTACATGCCTATGGTTCCAAATATTTGGGAGGCTGAGGCAAAAGGATCGCTTGAGCCCAGGAAGTTGCGGCTGCTGTAAGCCATGTTCACACCACTGCACTCTAGTCTGGGAGACAGAGCAAGACTCTGTCTCAAAAACAAAAACAAAAAAAAGCACTAGGTCAAAATGCCAAACTCCTTAGGGGAGCCTCAGGAGTCAGGATAACTAAATATAAAGTATCCTGATACATAAAAAGGACACTAGGTAAAGACTGAAGAATTATGAATAAAGAATGAATTTTGGTTAATAATAATAACGTATCAATACTGGTTCATTTATAACAAAAGTACTATATTACTGTAACCTGTCAATAAAAGGAAAAATGGTGGGGGAATGTGGGTACCCTGGGTATTATCTTCCCAACTTTTCTGTAAAACTATTCTGAAACTTCCACCATATTTTGCTTACCTAAGAGATATGAATATTGGTTCATATATGTATAATTTTTAAAAATAATGAAGAGTATGGCATTCTAAGTGAATGGAGCTATATTCCTCCCATTTCTGGTCATTTACTCTACTCTTGACCAGGTAGTCTAAAGTATTACCAAAAATAAAAATGCTAGTTTTTCTTTCAATGCAGTGAACTATGAATATATGATCGCAGTACAGTGACTCTTGCCTTATCCTTTATCACATGACTCTATCACATGACTGCACGTAATATAACAAGTCAAAATAACTCTTTTGTTAAACTGACTTCCATTCTCCCACAAAGACAAAGGTTCCAAAAATAAGCAAAACTTAAAAGTCCAGGGAAAAAGTTAAAAATAAAACTTCAGAAAGGATTAAAATAAATTTAATATGACCCTCAGTAAAAATGTCAACAAAATGGCCGTGTGTGGTGGCTCACATCTGTAATTCCAGAACTTTGGGAGGTCAAGGTGGGTGGATCATGAGGTCAAGGTGGGTGGATCACGAGGTCAGGAGTTCAACACCAGCCTGGCCAATATGGTGAAACTCCATCTCTACTAAAAATACAAAAATTATCCAGGCATGGTGGTAGGCGCCTGTTATCCCAGCTACTTGGGAGGGTGAGGCAGGGAACTGCTTGAACCCGGGAGGCGGAGGTTTCAGTGACCCAATACCACACCACTGCACTCCAGCCTGGGTGGCACCACAAGATTCTGTCTAAAAAAGAAAAAAGGCAACAAAATTGCAAGATATTTTAGTTTAACTGATTTTATACGTCACATGGAAAAATAAAAATTAGAAAACATCCAGAAAAACTGCCAAGGAACAGATTCCAATATATACTAGAATTTAACATATGATAATAGCATTTTAAATTAAAGATACCAGTTAATAAAAACTACAAAGACAATTGACCAGTCATCTGGTAAAATAAAACTAGATCCCTGTTTCTTTTTTCATAGCAAATAAAAAATCAAAACTGTAAAAAGTACTATGAGGTAACATGGAACAAAACAAAGTAAAAAGATAACTGGCAAAACTAGAAAAAAATATTCACATCACATAACATCAATAAAGGACGAAGACCCTTAATATATAAAAAGTTCTGGCTGGTCACGGTGGCTCACACCTATAATCCTAGCATTTTGGGAGGCTGGGGTGGGCAGATTGCCTGAGGTCAGGAGTTCAAGACTAGCCTGGCCAACACGGTGAAACCCCCATCTCTACTAAAAATACTAAAATTAGCTGGGTGTGGTAATGCATGCCTGTAGTCCCAGCTACTTGGGAGGCTGAGGCAGAAGAATCACTTGAACCCAGGAGACAGAGGTTGCAGTGAGCTAAGATCGCACCACTGCACTCCAGCCTGGGCAACAGAGCAAGACTCTGTCTCAAAAAAAAAAAAGTTCTAATAAATAGGCAAAAACTCAATAAAAATTTGGTATTTTGCAGAAAGAATTTACACAAATACCTTTTAAATAAAAAGTCTAACCTCATTCATACTTTGAAAAAAAATTTTTTTTTTTTGAGACGGAGTTTCACTCTTGTTACCCAGGCTGGAGTGCAATGGCGCGATCTCGGCTCACCGCAACCTCCGCCTCCTGGGTTCAAGCAATTCTCCTGCCTCAGCCTCCTCAGTAGCTGGGATTACAGGCACGTGCCACCATGCCCAGCTAATTTTTTGTATTTTTAGTAGAGACGGGGTTTCACCATGTTGACCAGGATGGTCTCGATCTCTTGACCTCGTGATCCACCCGCCTCAGCCTCCCAAAGTGCTGGGATTACAGGCTTGAGCCACCGCGCCCGGCTACTTTGAAATTTTTAAATTAAAATGTGTCACTTTTTACCTATCACACTAAGGTTAAAGTTTGATAATACAAAACACTGAAGAATATGGAGAAATAGGGGCTCTCACACATTGTTGTTAGAAGAGTAAAATGGTATAAATCTCTTTGGTGAGTCATTGGTATTAACTCTCAAAAATTAAAAACTATCCATCATTATACCCAGAAGTTTCTTTTCTGAAAATTTATGTTCAGAAAGGTGATTTTCAACAAACTATTCAATGTAGAAATGTCAACAGTAACAGTCAAAGTATCAGAATCAACCCTAATGTCTATCAATGGGGAACTGGGAATAAATATAAAGGAAGTACCACACATCTGATTTAAAAAATTCAGTAGATCTAGCTGCTAATATAAGATGTTCCCCATATTAATAAAAGGTTTAGAACATGCATATAGTATATTTTCATTTGTAAAGAAAAAAGATGGGGCATATACATGTTTGCATATTGATGCAAAAGTTTAGGAAGGAGATATAAAAAACTATTAACAGTGACCACCTCTGCAGAGGAGGCCTATGAGAAGTGATGACTTACATTTCACTCACTGTATACCTTTGAACTCTAAAAAATTTTTTTCATGTGCATGAATACTTTTTTGACTGAAAGAAAAATCTATAAAAACAGCAGCAGCAGCAAAAATTATCATGAAAGGAATGGAAATAGACCTGAAAGATACAGTACGTTTCTGGTAATGGAAGGGAGGACAGTCTAGGTAATGCATACACATACTCTGGCAATTAGGCCAGAATATGGGGTGTTTACTTTTGGCATACAAGGAAATATGTTCAAAAGGATGGAAGCTAAGAAAGGTGGGGGGAATGAGGTCAGATGGTATAGGGCCTTAAAAGTTAAGCAGAGTCATTAAAACCTGATGAAAAAGAAAAAAAAGAAGCCAGAGGAGAGGAATAATGGCATCTAAAGTGTTAAGGAAGATTATTCTGGCAATGGTAAACAAAACAAGTCAAGAAAGAGAACTGAGAGTTAAGAATGCAGTAATCCAGGCAGGTGGTGATGATGGCCTGAACTACAACTTGGTGGCAGGAATGGAGACTAGCGAATGAGGATGACAGACATTTTAAAAGAGATTACATATCAAGGAATGAACAAGAAGGATTTAATAACTATTGCAAACTTTCAAACCTAGCAACCAGATTCCATTTACAAAGACTGAAATTTATGGGGGATAAACTAATTTTAGAAAAAGGACAGAAAACAGGATGAGGTGTGAAGTCCAAGAAGATATATCCACCAGGCATTTGGAATCTAAGACAGAGCAAATTTTCAATCAGAAAACTCACATCAGAATTCTGGCTCTGCCACCTACCATCTCTGTAATCAGAGAGTCTCAACTTCTTTGTCTGCAAAATGGGGGTAAATCTTTATAAAGCACTGCTGATTCTGTCTGTAAAACGAGGGTAAATATAAAGAATTGCTGATCTGTTCACAAAGGTGATTTTCATGAAAAAACACCTCTAGAAAAATATACAAGAAAATGGATATTGGTTGCCACTGGGCAAAGGAGCTGTGCAGATAAGAGAACAGTAGGTGGGAAACAGTCACTAAATATCCTTTTGTAGTTTTAGAATTTTGACCACATGAATGCATTGGCATTTAAAAAACTGAATTAAAATTAAAAATCAAATGTAAGTCAGGTAATATCTATTGTTTGTAAGATTACAAAGCCACTGAAAGTCAAAGCACTTTGCAACCCATACAGGCTACTATGTTAGAGGGCAATGCAGAAGCTCAGGTAAAAGGACTAGATTGTCAGAGGCTCTGCAAACTGGCATTAAGAAAGGCCATTAAGAATGACAGAGAATAAACGGTAGAAAGCAAGAGAGCCATGGACTCAACTTGGAGGTAAAAGGGCAGCGAATACGGAGAAGGCACAGGTTAGGCAGTGTAACGAATGAGTGAGAACAGTTAAGTGCCAAAGAGGCCAAGAGAAGGGGTAGGTCAAAAGTCCCAAATGTAAAGTGCCTAAGCAAAGTGACAGGAAAACAGAACAAAATTTGCAAGTGTATAAAAGAAAGAGCAGGGGATGAGGAAGTAAAGCAGATATAGATGCTGTTTTTGAAGTTCAAAAGAACACATCTTTTAAAAGTGACTATTATTTAATACTATACTTTATTCAAGCACTTAGGCCATTTCCGTTTGTTCACTTTTTGTTACCTAAATTGGCCTGTCTTGTATTGTTAATTAGCTTGTGATTAGAACCAAATAACCTAAACCAAATAGCCCCAGAAGTTAGGAACTATGTTCTATATTTATAATGTATTCCACATTATGCCTTAGATTGCTCTATGTATAATATTTAGCCTTCTGTGATAATAAACTAGGCAAATGAAACATTTTATACAAAAGGACAATAATTCCAAATCAGAAGAATTTTTCAATTAAAAAAACTGAGTATTAGATA